TTGGTGCATAATAGCATCCTTGCTGTCAATCACAAGGCAACTGCAAGTATAATATATGCCCTTGATGTGGAAAGAAGAGAATGAGGCATAACTTGAATAAAACTTGGGCAAGATGTAGAAGAAAATGACGTAGGTATGGGTTCAAATTTACAGCACAACAATACAAATGCTTGGTGGGAGAAAAAGTGCTGCTCATTCACTGGAGACCAGAATGAAATATATGGGGTAGAATGGAGTAATTGTAGTATACAGAGACACAGTTTGGATCACTTGTATATGCATATGACAGACATCTGAAAGTCTAAGCAGCACCTTTCCTGATTACCCAGAAGCCGTGATGCAAAGCTTCATAAAAAAAGAGTGACATTACAAAATCACAGAATAAGCTGAGTTGGAAGACACCCTCAAGGATAATTGAGTCCAACTTCTGGCCCTGTACAGCAGCAGTCCCAAGAGTAACTCCATGTGCCCGAGAGCATTGTCCAAAAGCTTCTTGAACTCTGTCAGGCTGGTGCTGTGACCATTTACCTGGGGAGCCTGTTCCAGTGCCCAACCACCCTCTGGGTGAAGAATCTTTTCCTGATATCCAGTTCAAACTTTTCTGATGCAGATTTGAAAAGAGAAGGCAAGCAAAATATGTGGGAGTTACTTGGTGCAGTACAGTTTAAGGAGGAGTGAATTTCTAGACCTAATTTTAAAAACATTTTTAATAGTTTAGTACTAATGAAAAGTGGCATTCTTTTTTAGTGCGGAAAAGTGTGTAGTGGTATATAAGCTTTAATTCAAACATGGCCAAACACAGCCAAACTGCAAACATCACTAGAACACTTTTGAATTCAGCAAGACCCAATTTACAGCTACTAAGAAAAAGAAACTATGAAATATTTCTTAGTTCCAATTGCTAAATGGCCTTCAGGAGTCAGAAAACTTGGTTTTGTGGTTCAGGCACTAGATAAAGCCTGAGGAGAACTGGTTTCAATTTATGGATCCATGTTGGTCTTGGAGCAAATCACACTTAATACAAAATGTGGATAGTATGTCATGCCTGTTGGACTATAAACGTTTTAAGGCAGGGAAAATCTCTCACTAGGTGAAGACTCAGCATCTACCTCAAAGAAATATCTATCTTGACTGAGAGGATGAGGCATTCCTATATTAGAAATACTGATCAATAACAAAAACAAATATTGCTGTCTTTTCCCGACCTCCCCTGGTTGCTGAAGCTCATCTCAGATGAGAGATTGGGTACACAGATTTTCTTCTGCACTTAGCTTTGTTGGGGGCAGACAGTTCCTGCTTGCTGATAAAGATGAAGAAGGCTGGCAATGAAGAAAATGAACCAGAGTTGTGAGGGAAAACAGAAAGAAGGAGGACCTGATGGAGGAAAATATACTGATGGATATATTCTGGTCTGCAGATGGTGAAGGACTTATCCCAAGTGCTTTCCACTTCACCATCTGGCACTCACTAGAACAGAAAGTTCTCAGAGAATTAGAAAAGGTTGCTTTCACCTCAAAAATAACCCAAATATAGGACTAATGATTAAGGAGAAAAAAATGGTTATATAGCCAAGTACCCAGAGTTCAGAAAGCGGGGGGAAAGCATAAGCAAGCAAGGATGAGAGCTCTAAATCTCATTTTTTTTCCCAAGCCAACATTCAGGGCAAAAACTAACCCCTGCTCTGAATTCTCTTCACCTTGTTCCTCTGTTTGATGCTTCATGCAGTCCTCACCATCCTACTTCTTTCATCCTTTCCTTTCAAAAATCCCTGCATCTGCAATATCACTGTGACTTGCTTCTAGGACATAACCTGGCATGTGGGATGGGTGCTAATGGTTTCAGTAGATAGATATGCTTTTTCTTCTCAAGGGAGATGGCATAGGTTAGAAAATGAACTGCCCCCTTTCCATCAGTGTTATATTTTTGCTTCTCTAAGGGACATTTGGTATATAATGTGGTGGGAAGACATGTTACAGATGGATAAAACATGGTGAGAAGTTGGTTTTATCTGCCTCAAATTAGACATGGAGACAGAAAGGACAGCAGTTTCTGGGCATTAGGAGGAAAGTTTGTTTGGCAGGGTTTTTGAAACTCGGTCACATATTTTTTTGTTTAACAGCTTACAAGATAGTGTATTATAAGACTAAGTGAGTGTTTATGATATGTGTTGGAAAAGGACTATGGGATGTAAGTTGCTGGTGAATGGTTTCAGCTCATGTCTGAAAGGCTGGCAAGGATGCAGGAGGCACTGTTTAGGGCCCTGAACCCTGGAGAAATGGATGCTGACCACGCCACATCTGCTCCATGGCTCCTCCTGGGGAGGAACAGCAGTTGCTACCATTCCATGGGGGGATTTCAGCACACAGTGATTACTTCACTCTGGTGTTTTTGGAGGAGGATAGCAGCTTCCTTCAGTTTATACCTGCACTTGCATTTATTGCTAAAGGAATCCAGCTTCCCATTAAGTGCCTCTGAACTCAAATAGCTCCAATTTGAGCCTTTGTTTTTGTGAAAGCATGTAAGGAAAGACCTATACTATCAAAGAGAGCTCTGCTTCTTATTCTTTAAAGGCTTTGCCAAATGTTCTTATTTAATAACAGTTATCTTTATGTAGTAGCTGTATCTTTTCATAAGCTAATAGTTGTAAAGCACTGTCTACTTTGCTTAATGATACTACTTTCCCAATATAAAACAGGTCTAATGGGTGTCAAATGTGAAAGCAATATTCCTGCAATTTATCACTTAAGCCTTCTTTCACTCTTTTGGGGTGAATTGTTGTATTTTAAAAAGGAAATTGATTGCTTTGAGTGAATTCTTTTGTTCTTCTACATTAACAATTCATGAATGAAGCCAATAGCTGCAACACAATCTTCAGTTCCTTGTCCCACCAATAACCTCAGCTGTATCCTGGAGGGTAAACTCACACTGCATCAATCAGCTGTCTCCGTGGTCTGTAGCACAGCCACGTGAACTGTGGCTTACACTATGTTCTCGTTTGCTCCCTTGACTTCTGGCAGTAGGGAACTCCACAAAAATGAATTAACTGCTACAAAGTTTTCTGGCGTGCTGTACTTTACATGATTGGAAAGTTGCATTACTAGGAAGAATATAGACATTTACTTTGAAGTTCAGAACCAAATGCCAATGGTCAAATGATCCTGTGCACCTTTCTTCTCTGCCCTGCTCTTTTCACTATCTTTGTTAAGAATTGGGCCAGTCCAGTTAAAAAGATTCTGGGAGAATAAAGAGGTTTCTGTTAGGGAACATTTTGGACTACTTATTTTTTTTTTTAATAACACAATGACAGAAAAATAACCCAAAACCAGCCCTATAAAAATGAGCTGGGAAAGGCAAAGAGGGTAGCAGTTTAAGAATACATTAAGATTGCACCTGTGAATGAGTTCATTCAGTTCTTTCCATGAGCAAACCCTGTGCTTCTATTCCCAAATGAGAGATAAACACCCAGGGCTGGTCAGGCAGACATCCAAATGCCCAGACTCAGTGTAGCTGTGTGCCCACAAAATTCATATGGATAAAATGGAAGCTGTGAATGTGGACTTCAGCCTAACTTGCAAAACTGGAGCTCTTGTGCAGGAAAACTCATCAAAGTGTGCTGTCCTGGCTGGCCTTCAGTCACTAATAAAACTTCTCTGTTGTGCGTCCCTCTCCTCACTGCTGCTGACTCCTCCCCTGAAAGACATCTGCTCTTAAGCACATTTTCCTCCTTTACCTCCTCCTTACTTTGGCTCAGAGTCTCCACATAAGCATGTGAATGCACGTGCCTTTTGCTGTTTTAGTTCCTCTCCAGCCAAATTTGTGGTCTCTGTGCAGCAACCTGTACCCACCCACAGCTCTGCACACCCCAGGTCGGACAAGAGCAGGTTTCACCCAGGAGTAACACCTTGGGCTCCCTGGGCACACTTATTTCCATCTCAGTTCCATCATGGTACTTGTTGTGACTGGTTATAACAATTGGGACAACGACAACAAAAACACACTGCTGGTTTACAAAAAAACAACCAACCAACCAACCAACCAACGCTGGTTATAACAATTGGGACAACAACAACAAAAACACACTGCTGCTTTACAAAAAACCAACCAACCAACCAACCAACCAACCAACTAACAAACCTATATTGAAAAAACCCATCTTTTGTGACCAAAACCTAATAAAACCTAGCAAACAGCTACTTTATTTCCTCAGGAAAACAATAAATTATAATGCAAATAAGTAGATTCCCCTTTGTCATTGAAACTATATTTAAGAAAGCTTCTCAGGCCTAGTTCCTTCAGCATTTGACATTAGTGAGATAAGGGAGACAGAAAAGATTATTTGTTTGCAGATTGCAAGATAACAAGCAGTACATCTGAAAATGCAAACCTGAGATAACTCTTCTTACAGATGATCCTGGGAGAAGATGAACAAGTACAAGAAAGGAAACAAAAAAAAAAAAAAAAAAAGAGGCAGGGAAATGAATGACAGACCTGCTGTAGGTAGTATGAATAAAGATCTAAGAAAAGACCAGTGAAAATAATTCATTTTTCTGATTCAACACTTAAATTTCTTGAAAGTCCCCAAGAAATCTGATGTCCACCTGAACCTAATTTTTTCCCTATAATTATCTACATCTGAAGCACATATTGCCTGGGATTAAATAAAAATGCTTATTTTAGCTGACTTTTTTTAAACTTTGTTTTGATGTATTCTCAGAGAATTTAGAAAATAAGTACTTGAAAATAAAGGGATTGACTCATAGAGATCACTGCTAAAACAGAAGAAAAGAACAATTATGGGACCTTGCATAAAATGGAGCAGAAACGAAATCTGAATCTGAGTTGTGGAAAACACAGGCTTAGATTTCACCTCTACCAAAGCTGCAGTGCAGACAGGAATCCACCTTTCCTTTCCTATGCTCATGCCATTTTTTCAGACAAACATTCAATAAGAGTTTATTTACCTGTTCATTATTCAGCATGATATAAAATTATATCTATAGATCCAAGTTGCAATTGGGGTTCCATGCACACCAGGAAGAATTAATGAGATGACCTCACGTGGTGGAGACAGATCTGCATCCTGTTCATAAGCTGTGGCAAGACACACAAAGGCTAAAGTTTTCTTATTTGTCCAAAGCAATCTGTGGAAAATGGGATCAGAAATCCCAAGTCCTGGTACAGTGATTTTTCTGAAAAATGTTCCACAAGACACAGCATAAAGACTCTCTCTGATGTCCCTCCACCCCTTTGCTCCCTGACCTGGTTGCGCTGAGACTCCAGGAAAGCTCTGACCAGATAACCTTGATTGACAAAACATTTTACCAAGACAAGGGCAAGGTAAACTTCCCTGCACTAGTCTGCAGTGTCATAAATGTTTGCAGAATTGACTGTTCCCTCCAGAGGCAGTCCCATGCTTCACCGTCCCTGCTGCATACAAATGGAGTCACTGCACAGCACAACCAAGTGCATATGCTGTGGTGTGACCTTCTGTTTGGTGACATCCATCAGTGAATTGCTCTGTGCTAGTGGCTGTCTGAACATCAGCTGGTACATGAATTTCTCCTCTGATTTCACTAAAACCCAATCAATAAGGGCACATAGCTTTAGTGTTCTCATATACCCGCTCTGTGAATAAAGTAAATGAAATATTTGCACAGACTTTTGTGATTCTTTTTAAAGGGCCTGACCAGAAATTGGAACATGTCAGGAGCTCTGAGGAGGGGACTACAGACAAGCAGCATTGTATGCACAGGAACTGCAAAGTCCTCTCTTCTAGATGGAGGAAAAGGAAAATCAACCCAAATATCAATGAACACTTATAAAAAATCCTGAAAAATTAATTTAGCATAAGGTAGTATTGCTAACTCTCTGGTGCTGGACCCTTGTGAGCAGGTAATCCTGATGCACCTAAAGAAGCATTATAGATAACTGCTCCAATGCAAGCACATATCCCAGTTATATCTACATTTGCATAGAAATTTGTAAAATAAAGTTCTCTTGACATGAAAATTGTAAGTACATTATGGGGGATTTTTTTTTTCTGGTAAAAAGCCCCCCAAATATTAACCAACCCAATTATTTTGTAATTATGGAAAAATTAGGTAGGAAGTGGAAACAATGACTTGCTCGGTATTCTAATAAGAAAACTGGGGCAAAACAAACAAAAGTGCAAATAGCAATTTCAGAACAAAAGGAGATTCCTCTGTACTGAGTGTGTCACTAAGCACAACATGCCCCAGCTATTGAAAAATATCCATGACTAATTGGAAATCTTCTGAAACAAATTGCTACTAAGGCTCATACAGAGCTATCCCACTTGGACCAAAAAAGACTCAATGCCCCTGGTGGCAACACTGAGAAAATATAAATACTTGTTATTTTCTGGAGTTCATTCTTAGGTATTGTCTTTTGGTTGCAGACAGTACGTGTGGCTCTGTGAGTAAGAATAGCAGAGCCAGCATGAGGCAAGGGGGTTATTATTCCTAAATGTTATGTTATTGTTCTTAAAACATTCTTCTGCTGAGAAACTGAGCAGCAAGATAAAAACAATGGTATTATACTCAGGAGAAAAAAAAACAACAATGGCTTTGGCAAAAAACAACTCTGGGAAATGGAGAGGAGGTTTTGCAAAGAGCTCTTGTTTTTCTTCTCAAGGCTTTACATGGGACTGAGCACACATAATGGCTAAGAGCAGAGACCAGAGCATTTAAATGAGCTTTTCAGAAGTTTACTTAATAGATACACGTTTTACATCAGGGACAGATGATAGTAACTTTCCTTGCCCTGAGTTTTTAATTCTGATAAAGGTGTGAGAAAAAGATAAACATACCTGCTCATGTTTATTACTATTCTAGTGAGAGAAAGAAATTTGATTAAAACTGTAATTTACTTTATAGCTACAGGAGTTATATGCTAGTCTTTGGTGCTCAATAAGTGTTTGTTATGTCCTCTCAAGCATTAAAACTGGTAGGTCCCCTGTCTTAAAATCCTTCACCTTTTTGCCAGTCCTCTTAATTTTTGTTCTTATTCCCTAACCCCTTTTCCAGCTGTCCGCAATTATAAAAGTAAATGATTTCAATATGATGCAAAAGAGTAAACAAACCCTTACCCTGCAATTGTTCTAGGCACTGTGAAAGAACAAATAATCATTTTGACAGGTAGACAGGAGACAGGTCAAAGTGATCTGCTGAAAGTCTGCCTTCAAGAAAGGACAGCAATGCAAAGCTTCTTTCCTTTTCTTCTTTGTTTTCTTTCCTTCCCCTCACTCTCCTAAATTTCAGGGTGACCCAAGAGCATTCATAGATACTGAGCTAAAATAGTGACTTTGTCACAGCAAACCATAAGGCAGACACTGCAGAAATACATGATCTTTTCTGCATTTTTTAAAGTAGCAGTATGAGATCCCTTTGGTTTTGCATAATGTTATAGAGCCATTTTCTCAATATATTACAATAAAATGCACTCTGAATATTAACTACTTAGAGATATGGTAATGAGAAACTTTCTTTCAAGAGGAAATTTTGGACACAGGAATGGGAAAGGTACAGCTCAGCAACTTTTTCTTTCTGCTTCTCACTGCTGGAAGAAGACATCCCATCCAGTTAAAACAAGGTGGGTTTGAAATAATAATTTGGAACCCTTAATTGTGTACTTTCAAAAAATCACGCAAATTCTGCAATATATTTCTGGAGACATCTATACACGTTACACATATATCTTCATGTGAATAATACATTTAAAAATTATTTTTAAGGACCTTCTGTGTCTTTTTCTGAACATTCATCCATGTTCTCAAGCTTTGGCCATCCCCCAGGCTGTGGGGATTAGATTTTTCTCCCCCTAATGGCAGCTAGCACCAACCATCACTTTCCAGCAGCTGCTCTGGTGGTATGTGGACAGCCTTACGGTGATGTGGGGACAAAGGGCAGTTGGGACACCTGCTCTGGCACTCCTGGCCTGCTGTGACCCGCGGGATGCAGCTGGGGCTGGGGGAGGAGGCAGGGCCTGGCCACGGTGTCCTGGCAGCAGGGTGGGGGCTGGAGGTCCTGCTGGCCCTGCGAGCAGGGCTGCCACGGGGGTGTGGAGGTGTCGGGGTGCCGTGGTGGCCCAGTGCTGGTGGCAGGCCTGGACTGCTCCTGCCTGTGCGGGGAGCTGGCTCCAGGAGGCACCACCAGCCCGCACCAGAGGCCTTTGTATTCTGGTAGCTCTCAGCTACACATTTGCTTGTGCTATTACTTCTCATGCTGGCAGGCTTAAACCACCAAGGGTAATCCTGGGACAAGCTACAATTACAACTTCTTTCTGTTGTGGAGACATGACCTTTGCCTGTTTGATTGCAGCTGGCTTTGGATCAGGGCCTGCAGCCAAAGCTGTGTCGCTAGCATAACATGCAACACTCTCTGCAGAGCCCCTAAGTATAAGCCATCACCTCTCTGATCTAAAATACACATAACTGCAATGAGCTGTGAGATCCTCCAGCATTTCACAGCATATACAAGAGATTTATTAACAAAGATTTTCTGTTTCCAGATCGAGAATTATACAGAAAGCCAAATTTTTAGCTTTCATGAAAAAATGAAGCCCAGAGTGTGAAGAAGGGGTGAATTCTGGGGGCGTGTGTTTCCCCATGGAAAAGGGGACACACCTTTTCCATGTACCACTTGGTAGTTCTATGAAAACAGATTTTCAAAGGAGCCAGAAAAACCTGACAAAATTGTTGTAGCTTTACAGTCCGGTTTAGGTTAAAACACAACTACTAAAAAAAATTTGGATCATGCCTTTTACATACACAGTGATGGTAAATTCTTATTAGTAATCCATACGCAACAGAATTATACTTCTGAGTTCATGAAAGAACTGTGGTTAAGACTAGTTCGGCAGTCGGACTGCTACAAAGGTTATCCTTTGTAGCATCCCAGCATCCCAGCTTTAGGCACAAGACAGGGCTGTCTGGATCAGGGGGACTCTGCCTGCAACTCCTCTATGCTGTGCAAGCTGGGACCAGACTACTCTGACCCTGGCAGCAAAGCAGGCCTGTGAGAGGAGCACTGCAGCTACCAGTTCACTGAATATCACTGAAGCTTCCAGCGTCAAAAAACAACACTAAAAATCTCTCTCAAACCAACTGCCCTGTCAACCTCTACATAATCCAGTTTAACTGTCACACATGCTTTGTAAAAGCACCAGCCTATTAAATTAAACAGAGTCGACTTCAAACTTGCTAAAAAGGGAACAGGACACCATGGATATATTTTGGCCAGGCACAGTACAATATTTATGGCCTTTCTTCCCCACTACAGTTATGCTGCAGATGTGTTTTATGTGAGTAGATATTGTTAGACAAGCAAGCCTTTCCACAGCATCACAAACAATCAAGCTGGCCTTGATTGGGCAGCTTGTTTAAACATCAGGTTAAATCCTTTTAAAGTGAAGTGCCTAATAGAGGTTTTGCAGCAGTGCTCTTAATGACTGTAAAAAAAAAAAAAAAAAAAAAAAAAAAAAAAAAGTCAAGAAACAAAATAAGAAACAGAATAAGGTCAGCTCACATTTTCTTTCAGCTAACTACTCCAACACACCTATCCCAAATTGTTTTTTCACATACATGAATTCTGCGTGGAATCGGAGGGAATATGTGTTTTTTTCATCCTCCCCAGCCAAGCATCCTGCCGATGCTACCCCACCTCCCTGAACCTTCCCCCCGGTCTCGGTTCCCAGCGGTTCCAGCCGCTGCAGTCCCGGCAGGTGGCACTCGGGCTCCGCGCCTCGGGCCGCGCTGCGCGGACAGGAGCGGAGAGGGAGAGGGAGAGGGAGAGGAGCTTTCTGGCCTGAAATCTCCGACAGCAGCGTCTGTCGTGACTGACCCGCAGGTGAGGCGGCCGTGTCGCAGGGAGAGGAGGCTCACGGCTGAGCATCACTGCAAACCGCCATGGAAGGAGAACTTAAGGCACAGTTATCCCCAGGGGAAATGCCTGCATCGAGAAGGGAATATATATATATACACACATACATATATATATACACACATATGTATACATATATATATACACACACATATATATATACACACATATATATATGTGTGTATTCACACTATAACTCCTACTAGTGTTAATGGGAATTATGTGTGTAAATCCCCAAATTGCCGCCTACAAAGATGAGAGTGTCCCTGCAAGGGTCTGAATTATGCATTTGAATTAAATCTGACTGTTGGGAAACTCATAACGCTGTAGCTCTTATTATAAATTTATACTTAGTAGGACTAAGTTTCACCTGAAACAACAGAGCCTGAAGTGTTATTTGTTCCAGCGCATTATTTTGTTAGATGTGATAATCAGCTCACAGCAGGACTGTGAGAGGCTACTCAGCTTGTTGACAATTCTGGGTCCCATCCAGCTTCAAGCAGCTTCTGAAGCAGCTCTGAAGCCGACAGAGGGGGATCCCAAACCTGGCTCCTCAGTGAGACATGGCCAGGGCACTGCTGACTGTCCACAGTCTCTTCCCAGGACATCTCTTTCCTGGGTGCAGAGTTACCTGTTCTGTTCTGTGTGCACTCCAAAGCAAAGACCACAGGTGAGACTCAGCTGCTGTTTCCAGCCCCCTGTATTTTGCCAGGCGGA